GATGCCATGGCACTCTAGCTCAGACAAAAGAGTGAGACTCTGTCTCAAAAAAAAAAAAAGACTACATTGGAAAGCAGAGAAAGACAACCTTAGAGAGGTCACGCACTCCAGATGGGCAGAGAAGACATAGCTGGTGACACGGACCTTAACCAGCCTTGGAATCTCTCAGACTGTGCTGATCTCTATTCGAACTTCTTATTTGAACATAATACTACTCTGACATTACTATTTAGGCCAGGGTTGTACAAACTATGTGTAGTTGAGTTTTAGGATACAAGCAAATTATATAATTTTTCTTTTCAAGATGAAAATCACCTGCTGGTTTTGATTATAGAAAATATGCTTATTATCAAGTGTTCAAGCAGTATAGAAAAGTATAAAAAAAATGAAATCCTGTGTGTATTAGGAAGGCATATGCTGCAAGTAATAGGAATCCTACTAAGAGTAACTTAAACAAATAGAGGATTGCTTTTTCCTCTTGGGAAGTCTGGTCAGAGATCCAGTAGTTCACAACTGGTGAGAACCTGGTGAATCTGTTCCTGTGCATATCCTATTCCCTGTGTCAGCAGTGGTGACGCTGGGCAAAGGAGCCGAGGAGCCAGAATAGGTGCTGTTTGTTGCTAGGCTACCCAGCGATGGTGGATTTGGCAATGTGAGGACTTGGGGAAGGTGACTTCCCCTAGCACCCTGGAGAAGAAGAGTGGTAAGTCAGGGTAGCTGTGGAGGTAGGCAGACCATATAAGAATAAATGCCTCTAAGGAGAAGAGGAAGGAAGATGAGGAGCAAATCACTGAACGAGAAAAGAAATTCCTTCCAAATATTTTAGAGAGAGTATTCATTGCTTCCTGACTAACATAAGAAAATTAACAGTGAATTTATGATAAGTTAATTTGTGAGAGGAAAATGAATGTGAAAAAGAAAGCAACTCAAGAAAGATCAAAAACAAATATAATCTGGCTGGGCACAATGGCATGTGCCTGTACTCCCAGCTACTTAGGAGGTGGGAGGATCACTTGAGCCCGGGAGTTCAGGTCCAGCCTGAGCAACATAGTGAGATGTCCTGTCTCTTTAAAAAAAAAAAATAAATAACCTTTCAGCCAGAGAAAAACCAACTTGACCCACAAGTTAAAAAGACCAGGATCTAAGAGACTCAAGGTAACAGACAGTGTAATTCTCCCCACAAAATTTTCTTTTTGGGCTAGGTGCCAACAGAACTTTTCTAAGTAAATTCCTGTCTTTTACCATCAAAAGGTAGCCATTTGAAAATAACTGCACTCTGTGCTTGGGCCTGCAAGTAGAGATCAGGACCCATTTTCCCCCTCTGCACACCGCTGCTCATGTAGCCACTGCTTTTACCACTGGAGGCTGGGACAGATGAGTCAGAGGGCTGCCTGTCTGGGGTTGTGAGTGGCTACTGCAGCCCCGATGGTGGCATGGCCTCAATGCTTGGGCATGTAGGGCAGACCCTTGTCCCCTGTGCATGGTGCTGCATGCCTGGGGCTGTGGGTAGTGACCCCACATTACAGCTACTGCCAACACCAGTGCACACCACTAAGGATTGAGAAGATTATCCTGGTACTGCTACTGCCATCACCCACACCATACTGGCTGCCCAGGGACCTGAAAACCTGCTCAAGCATCCAAACCACTGTTGCCACTACTAGCATCTGAACAAGCCATCTGAAGGCCCACGAAACAAGCCACCTGGTCTTGCTAACACTGGTACCAGCATATGCTACCCTGAGGCCCAAGAACAGGCACACTTACCCCACTACTGCCGCCACTGGGGCCCGAAAACTGGCCCACCTGGCATCCCTGTCCCCATCAAAACTTCACCAAAGCCTCCATTAATAAACACATCCTAAACCACCAAGGAAATCACAGATACCACTGATGCGGTTTACAGCCAAAGAAATCATACAGAGACTACACTACACACACCCAGAATCCAAGCCAAAGGACCCTGCCTAACCAACACCACTGCTACATCTTCAGGAAAAAGTCCTTCCCTACAAA